AACTGGACGAACGAGAGTAGTTGCCGGGCAGTTTGGCGACTAATTGCAAGATGTACAAAGCTCAACAACAGATCGCCTTGCTTCTCGCGGGAGGAGAAGGCTCAAGTAGTTCGAGATTCGGACTGGCTTTGTCCGCCGGGAAAATACCACGGGCCACAGGGATGTTCAGAGAAAGTTCAGTTCGGCGAAGGAAACTGTTGGCAGAGAGTCCAACGGGAATCTCGCGGCGAGGAGATCAACTCGAGATCAACTGGAGCCCGGATCGGGATTCCCGAGTCGGTTGCTCGGTGAAATTTTTCGAAAAAATTAGCGTCTCGTCGAACGTTTCGTTCCTTCTCTGAAGGACTGCTCGAGAGGAGCTTCTTCGAGAAAAAGAGAGAGAGAGAGAGAGAGCCGTGTCGAAACGAGTCGCGAGTTTGCTCCAAGTCGACTACTCGACTACTTCAGCAGTCGACTTTCTTTCGGTACGTATCTCGACGCGACGAGACGACGAACGACGAAGGACAAAGAGAAATCGCAAAGGTGGCAATAAACGAGAGAGAGAGAGAGAGAGAGAAAAAAAAAAAGAAAAGAAAAAAAAACAAGCAGTCTCTCGGTACTGCATCGATCTCAGGCGATCGGAAAGCGTTAAATAGCACACAGTGACAATAATAATTGTAACGTGCCGCGTTTCTGGATTGGTACTTTTCACCGTACGCGCGTCGAGGACGTTTCCAGTGGACTAGGGGGACGATGGGGAAGTATAATACCTACGCACGTAGGGGGAAAACGTGTGGTGAGAAGAGCGCGAGAGAGAGAGAGAGAGAGAAGGAGGGAACGATAGTGGGAAAGCAAGAGAGGGAGAAGACGAAAGGCGAGAAGAAATTGATGGGACACGGGGAACGTGCTGGCGTGAAATTCGCGGTGGCGAATTGTACGTTTGAATGACAGTGCGAGACGGGAAGCGAGAGCGATTGCTGGCCGGAAGAACTTTTATCGAACGCTGCGAGATCGAGTGAGAAAAGAAAGCGCGAGTGCACGAAAGAGTGGAGAGAGGCGGCCGGAACAGGAGGAGGAGAAGGGAAGAGGGTGCGAGAAAAGTATGCGAGAAGTGAGCCGAGAAGAGCCAAGCAGCGAGAATGGAAAAGAGAAAAAGTGGACGAGAGAGAGAGAGAGAGAGAGAGAGAGAGAGAG